ATGCCTCCAAAGTTTCAGCACAAATACAACAGCGACCAACTCTAAATCATGCGTCAGATAATTCTTCTCATGCACCCTGAGTTGCCTCGAAGCATAAGCTACAACTTGTTTATCTTGCATCAACACACCTCCTAAACCCATCAAAGAAGCATCACAATACACAACAAACGGTTTTGTCGAATTTGGAGAAATCAAAACAGGAGCTGTCGTCAATCTTCGCTTAAGCTCTTGGAAATTTCCTTCACACTTTGCATTCCACACAAAAGCTTGACTTTTCCTAGTCAACTGCGCCAACGGAAATGATAACTTGGCAAATCCCTCAATAAATTTCCAATAATATCCCGCTTAACCAAGAAAACTTCTAATCTCAAAAACTGATTTCAGAGTCTCCCATTGCGATACCGCTTCAACCTTCAACGGATCAACTGCAATACCTCTACTCGAAATCACATGACCAAGGATACTCACTTCCTTCAACCAAAATTCACACTTAGAGAGCTTAGCATACAACCGCTTCTCTTTCAATACAGATAACACAATCCTCAGATGCTCGACATGTTCTTCTTCACTCTTCGAATAAATCAAAATATCATAAATGAACACCACCACAAACTTGTCCAAATAAGGATGGAAAATCCTATTCATGTACTCCATAAATACACCTGGTGCATTAGTCACACCAAATGGAATCACAGAATACTCATAGTGTCCATACCTCGTTCTAAAAGCAGTCTTCTTAATGTCTCCAGCCTTCACGCGAATCTGATGATACCCAGATCTCAAATCTATCTTACTGAACACACTCGCACCAACCAACTGATCCGTCAAATCATCAATCCTTGGAAGTGGATACTTATTCTTGATAGTCACCTTGTTCAATTGTTTGTAATCCACACAAAGTCTCATAGAACCTTCTTTCTTCTTAACCAACAACATTGGTGCACCCCACGGTGACACACTCGGACGAATAAACCTCTTCTCAAGTAGCTCTTCAAGTTGACTCTTTAACTCTTTCAATTTCGATGCGGACATACGATATGGAGCCATCGATATCGGACTAGTTCCAGGAATTTAGTCGATCACAAACTCCATTTCTCGTTCTGACGGTAAATCTATTATCTCCTCAGGAAAAACTTCCGGAAAGTCACGAACAATTGGTAAAGCATCAATCATTCAACTTTCACCAATGCTCACCATTGCCATTAACAAGAATACCTTAGCACCATCTTGCAATGATTCCTTCACTTGCTTAGCGGTCATAAACAAATCTTCCTCCTTCTCAAGTTTAGGAAAAATAACCCTTTTGTCAAAACAGTTAATATAAACACGATTGAATTCTAACCAATTCATCCCAAGAATAACATCAAGTTGATCTAAGTGAAGACATACTAAATCAACTCCAAAGTCTTTACCAAAAATACTCAACGGACAATTCAAACACACATACGGAGTAGTGACCGAACCCATAGCAGGAGTATCAATAACCATATCTTCACTCATGACAGACAACTCAAGACTTAATCTCTTAACACAATCAAAGGAAATAAAAGAATGCGTAGCTCCAGTATCAATTATAGCGATCAAAGGTATACCATTAATGAAGCACGTACCTCGGATCAATCGATCATCATTAGCAGTCTCCGACCCTGATAGAGCAAACACTTTCCCACTCCCTTGAGTCTTCTTTGGCGTATCACACTTGGTACTGTCATACCCCAAATTTGTCCTACCTTTTTCAAAATTTTCATTCGCCCGACTTTATTTTTCAATTTGCATTGCTGAACGTATTTTTCACCTTTTTGCCCAATAAATTTGTGACACATGACATTTTTTATTTTTATTTTGTTATTATTTTATTTTATTATTTTTGCCTTATAATTTATTTTTTTACTATGTCAATATAATATAATTTTAATATTAGTTAATTAATTAGATTAGATTAAGAATTGAATTAGAAGTTATATTAGAATATTTAATTAATTAGAATAGAGTTAATTAAAATTTAGAATAGAATTTATTAATTAATTAGAATTAGAGTTGTAATTTAAATAGATTTAAAATTGTAATTAAGAGTTAGAATTAAATTAAAAATAGAAAATAAGTTTATTAAATAAACATTAATAAAAAGAAAGAAAAATAAAAAATTGGAAAAGCAAAGGCACGGTAGAGATATTTTGAGAATTAGGGTTATAATTTGCTATAAATTAGGAGTGATTACTGTTCATCAGGAGGAAGAGAGAACCTAGCCTCCAATTCCAACTCTGAAACCCTAAATTCCTCAAGTCAGCCGCCTCTTCCAACCTCAAACCCTCAGCCGCCTCCTCCAACCTCAAACTCTCATTTCCATTCAGCCGCCGCTTCAACATCATTATCACCTTCTTCTTCATAAACCCTCGGTCACCACCTCCGAAATCTAACAAAGATACCAGAAACCCTTCTGATATTCTTCTTCCACCATTATCACCATTTCAACCACTTAAAAAAATTTCCTCTTCTTCTTCTTCAAAAATCCCAACCCTCAACCCTTCTGTCTCCATTAATCTTCAATCGAACCCTTCACTCCTTAAAAGCATCAACTGCAACTTCGAATGAGAATTCTTCAAGCTGCTACAACTCAAGTGATAGTCACGGCGTTCTGGTTCCGCGTTTCGTGCCAATATCGGAATCTCGCTTCACCAACAACACCAGCAATGACTCTGTGCGCATTTCGCAACAAATCCGGCAATGCCAAGCTCTGATTTCAATTTCGAAAACAACACAGCAGATCCCCGAGTGAACCAAATTTGGTTTCGACTCATTTCCATAGGCTGTGAATCTGAGTCTTCAAGAATTGGAGATTTTGAATTCTACGGATACCGCGTCGACAAGTACTCAACAATGATTTCAACGGTTATGTGAGATCTCACCATCCATGGAGATGACAATGTTTTTTTTTTTGAATTGATTATCTCTTTTTGGGTGGTCTTGTTTAGCTTACTGAGTTTTCATTTCTCTTTATAGCTTAGACATGTATCTTATAGTTTTGGTTTTCAAATGCTTCAACTTCGGTTCCGCAAGTTTTGGTTTTTGGTTAATTGTTGCTATTGTTAATCATTTTGTGTGGTGAATTTCTTGTGTTGATGCATATAGTTTGGTTATTGGTTGCGTATCCATTTGTATTTTCGTTACAACTTCGAAAATTTATAAACCTTATGATAAATTCTACTGCTGCCACTCGCGTGAATTAACACTGATGTTGTTCATGTTGCATTGAGTTTTGTTTAGAATTCTTTTGGTAGACATGGTGAACAGTGTTCCTAAGGGGAACACATTTTTTACACTAAATTTACAATAACCCCATCTTATTTGCATTACCATGATGATAACAGTGATAGGTTCTTGATGATGGTTGGTTTGTTTCTTTTTTTTCACGGTAATCATATTTAAGAAAGAAGAAGGCACTTTTTTTCTTCATATTTGAATTTTAATTAATATGTATTATGGTATTGTTTCCTAATAACTCTTTCCATTTTATGCTATTATTTACTTTGACCTTTTTTTTATTTTATGTTTATTTATTTATTTCTCAAGTATTAATATGTAGTTTAGCTACTTACTGATACATATATGTTCTTTATATATAAACATAGTTACTAGTTGATTTAGTTAGATTTCTATTTTATTAGCTAATCATAGTTTTTTAATTAGTAAATTATTAAGAGATTGTTTGATTATTCACTCACTTGATTATGTTGTAAATTCGGAGCACAAATGTGATTTTCCTTTCGAACATCATTTGGACGTATAAATTGTGGACTCGGTTGTTCATAGAGTAGTTTTCATTTGAATCCACTCTAAATGATTTTGACATAGTTCTAAATTTGATTTACTTTTAATTTTGGTTGGTTCGGTCTCGCGGCTTACTCTTAGGCTTTCTTACAACGAGCACTCGTTCATTTGGGTTCGATTTAATTGTTTTATTCCTATCCCCATTCAAAACAATGTACCCCCATTCCCACGAAATGTAATATATGGTATCGCTTTATTTATGTTTTATACTGTAAAACCCTTTTTTAAAAGTAAAATTCTCGATTTATCGAGCCACTTTCTACCCTTGTAAGTCGAGTGGTTTCAAAGCCTCGCCATCAACCTTTTGGTCACAGACACAATATTTTAAAGCTTAATCATGGGCTTCCTTACAGTGATACCTATTTGATCAATTATTTCTAATTGGTCATTTAGAAGACTAGCCCATTTTGCTAGTATACACGTTAAAACTCAATTTCAAACCTTGACTCACATCAAGCATTTTCTCCAAATCAAATTAAAATACTTAATAACTATTCAAATACAATATCAATTGTTGCACCCTAAAATTTGCCCACCGATTTTCCAACTTTGACCGGCTTTTGCTTCGTATTTTCATCTGCATATCATTTAGGTTGCATTTTGTCCGTGTTATCGGTCGGATTGAATCTATCAGAATTTTAGCCGCTTTGCTCGCGTTTCAGACAGTTTAAATCAAAATTCAGTGTCGAAATCGAGCGAAAGTCGCTCTCCTCTTGATAATTCAGTCCGTGTTGATATTATCGGTGCATTTGGGCACTCGACTATTTTTTTTTCATAGCATTTTTTGCATTTTTATTTATTATTTTTGCTTTATTTAATGATTTAAAATAGTTTTTATTTTTATATAGAAATAGTTTATGTAGAATTTTTAATATAGTTTTGTTTTGTTTTATTTTTATTAGACTTAGATTAAATAGGATTTAATATAGGATGTTATTTTTGTCTTAGATAGAAGATAGAAATTAGGTTTTAAATAGGTGTTATTTATTTATTGTTTAGAACTAGTTTTAATTATTAATTGTAGAATTAATTAGTGATTTTATTTAGAACTTATTAATTAATTAAATTAAGTTCAGATTATTATTAAATTAATTAGGACTTTGATAGTTGCACGTGATGATGCTGTCTTTTTAGTTGATTTGAGATTGAAAGAATGCAATGTGACTTGCCTAATGAAGATCGAGACATTGCGGATGTATGCTCCTGATGTAAACGACCGGTTTCTTGCCTTGTCAAGGGCTGGTCCTAATGACTTTTACTTCACTGTGGCTTCCAGCAGTCTTTTAGTTCTATGTGATGTAAGGAAGCCTTTGATGCCAATATTGCAATGGAAGCACAACATTGATGAACCATACTACATGAATGTATTAAGCTTGTCTATGTTAAGATCTCACTCAAAGGTAGATAATTTTAAGCTGGCTTCTGAAATGGGGTTTTGCATTATCTTGGGATCATTTTGGAATTTTGAGTTCAATATATTCTGCTATGGACCTACATTTCCATTTCAGAAAGGTTCTATTACTTCGAAGCTTTCGAAGATTAGCACAACATTCTGTGCTTGGGAGCTTCCATCTGAGATCAATTTATCTAGTCGCGAGTGTCATTGTGGAATTTGTTTGTTTAGGGAAGAGTTGTCAAATGATGCACTTCCTGAGTGGATTGATTGGCAGCTAAAGAAAGAGATGGTTTTGGGATTTGGCATTGTAAGCAATGACCTTGCTTCCTTACTCCATGAACCAGATGAGCATGGTGGTTTTACACTAGTAAGGATAATGTCATCAGGAAGGTTTGAATTGCAGAGATATCATGCCTCTTGGTCTCTGGATAGAAAATTGGAAGATTGCCACAAAGCAAATTTATGTATGGAGTCACACTTGTTGTGTCCCAGGAATGTTAAGGAAAACAAATCTGTAGAACTTCATTACTTAAAACTGGATTACCTATGTGCTTATGCAAATGGTAATCTTGCTCAAGTCCTTACAACAAAATTAGACAAGACATATTCAAATGATCAAGAGGAGGCGCCTTTTTGTTTAGAAGTTCATGAATTATTATGTAAGAAATTAAATGCTTGTGGATTGGGCCATTCAAGATCATCTCCAACAATTACTTCTATTTTTAACGATGTCAAGCTACCAGCTAGCTTCCACGAGGTTGCCTTAAGAAAACTATGGATCGACTTGCCTTTGGAGTTACTACAGTTAGCATTCTTGAGTTATTCTGAATGTCGTGAAGTCAATGGATTCAACCAACACCAGACAAATTCCCACACACAAAATCAACAAAGCAACTTGCCCCAACCTTACACCAAAATGGAATAGACAAGTTCTGCACAAGTTGTACAAATACCTGCTATTACTGCTTCAGCCTTTGCACAACAGCAGCACTTCTACTACTCCTCCCACACCAGACAGACAACCTGCAATGCAACAAAAGAAACACATAAATGAGAAGGTAGTACAGGCAGCTCTGCACACTAGCCTGCTACAATACTCTGCACACACTACCCTGCTACTACTACATGCCAGACCAACAAACACACCTACAGCCTGCATAACCTGTACAAAAAAAAAAGGACATCACAGAATGAGCAAGGAGGAGGGCTTTTCTCACAACAAAAAAATCCTTCTTTCAAGACTGACTCCTCCACCGTCTTCCTCGGACCTGAAGCATCAAAACCAAGATTCTATTCTTCATTTTGGAATCCTCATCACAAATCCTCTCTCCTTCAACACTTCTTAAAACCTCCAACAAAATTTCATTCACCATCAACCAAGACAGCTCCACCATTAACTAACCACTCCAAATCCTCTTTCAAACCTTCCAACCTTCAACAATCTTCTTCATCAAACCAACATCAAAGAACCAGAAAATCCTCACTCACCTTCAACCCAACCAACCGTGTTCTTCATCTTTTGACACCCAGCAAACTTCGAACCTCCTTCTTCTTCAGCCACACAAATCACTCTTCCAACCTCTGTTTTCGAAACCGCCTCCAACAGAAAAAACAACAGCCCAGAAATTTCCTCCCAAACCAAACGGAGTCCCCTATTTCCTCTCCTTTCAAACCCATGTGAACCTACAACAATGAAAACTGTTTTCTCAAACCAAATCTCAGAAATCAATAAACCAAATCAGAGATGCATTTGAGGCGAGAAAGAAGAAGAGAAACTGATTGAGAAATGAACGAACCTGAAGTGAAAATCGAATACGAATCCCAAATCTCCAACCCATCTCAAACATCAACCGAAACCTATCGCTTCCACCTTCTTCAAACAAACAAACAACCATCATAAACAACTCCCAAACAGACCCATAACACAAGATTTCTGTCCATATTTTCAACTTCATAAACCTCACAAACCTCATAACTCCACCTTTCCTTAAAAAAACCTCAAATCCCTTTCATCTCCTTCACGCTTCATCTCTTCAAACCAAAACCTCCATAAACTTCATCACTCAAACCTTCTACTTCAATACACGACCTATTCCAATTTTCAACAACAAATCCAAACCCTCTTTTTGAACAACATCAAGACCTGTTCAAACACCACCGACAACCGAAATCGAAACCCCAACCAGTAACCACAACGTAACCCATTTTCAGAAAAAAAAAATCAAATCATAGCCTCCATCAACTTCAAACCATTTTCACCAATCTTCAAACAACTTCATAATTATAACAAAAACCAAGCTTCCTCACTGAACAAGAAAATGTCAGGTCGCGGAAAAGGAGGAAAGGGTTTGGGAAAGGGAGGAGCAAAGAGGCACAGGAAAGTGCTTCGTGATAACATCCAGGGAATTACCAAGCCTGCAATTCGCCGTTTAGCCAGAAGAGGTGGTGTGAAAAGAATCAGTGGTCTCATCTATGAAGAAACCCGTGGTGTTCTCAAGATCTTCCTCGAGAATGTTATTCGTGATGCTGTCACCTACACTGAGCACGCAAGGAGGAAAACCGTCACCGCCATGGATGTGGTTTATGCTCTGAAGAGGCAGGGAAGGACTCTTTACGGTTTCGGTGGTTGATTCTGATTCTCAATTTAGGGTTTCGTTAGCCCTAGCTTGGTTTGGTGGTAAATGTCGGTTAATCTTGAAATATCAGCGTGTTTTTTTTTTCCGGTTCTTTTGATTAGATTAGTCTTGGATCTGTTTGAATTGAACTAAACAATTTTGTTTTTTTAAATATATTATATTGTCATTTTTTTTTTTAGAATTTTATATTATTTTTTATATTAGTTTTATTAATATTCCTTTAGAATTTTATTATTTTCTTTTAAAAGTTTTATATATTGTTTTCTAAGTTTTATTTTATATTCATTTTTCTTTTAGAATTTTTTATTTATATTTCGTATTAGAGTTTTGGATCTTTTTATTCTCAGAGTTAAAATTCATTTCTCATTTTCGACTTTGTCCCATCTTCATTTGTTTTGGTCAATGACGAGACCTCCGTAATTCATTACCAGTCAAATTATTGATAAGTAATGTTGGATCTGAGACCACCTCTTTTCTCTCTTCATTACTTGTCCCAACTCGATTCAAAAGCTTTGACAAACCATCTTCAATATCCAATTATCTTTGTATTGAATTAAAAAGAGGGGATTAAGTGTAGACTTTCTTCCTCTCCGAGTGTTGGGATTCCCACTGTAGTGAGGGTAGTTTCGACACTCGTCTTTCAATACGAAGACGCTTCCCATCCTTTTTCAAATCTCATCTCCTTAAAATCAATTCTTTGTATTGAATTAAAAAGAGAGGATTGGGCGTAGACCTCTTCTTCTTCGAGTGTTGGGGTGCCCACTGTAGTGAGGGTGGTTTCAACACTCGTCTTTCAATACGAAGACGCTTTCATCCCTTCTCTCCTAAAACCTCGGTCCCGTACCGAGCGCATTTTCAAACCCCTTCAATAAGGAATCATTTCTCTTCGTATTGCATTAAAGAGAGAGGATTGGGTGTAGACCTCTTCTTCTCTGAGTGTTGGATACCCACTGTAGTGAGGGTGGTCTCAATACTCGTCTTTCAATACGAAGACGCGACTTCTTCCACCACCTCTCCTTTCACAACTTCCTTCTGTAACTTTTCACACCTAAAACCTCGGTCCTGTACCGAGTGCATTTTCAAATTATTTTCACAATAAAACTTGAATGGTCGTGGAGTGGTTAGGCGTAGGCCTTCTCCTATCCCGAGTGCTGACGTTTACCGTAGGGTTCTCTGTCACCAAAGTACTTACCATTCAAAACCAAAAACAATTTAATAAGAGAACGAAGTTCTCTTTGCATTGAATTAAAGAGAGAGGATTGGGTGTAGACCTCTTCTTCTCCGAGTGTTGGATACCCACTGTAGTGAGGGTGGTTTCGACGCTCGTCTTTCAATATGAAGACGCCTCGTTCGCCACACCTTTTCATAACAAATACTTTGAGACAAAGAATTGGGTACTACCCGTAGGGGTTACTATCTGAGGACATGTCTCGCCCCTTAAAATCAATCCAATCAATCAAACGTGACTTCTTGCCTCGCGTGGCGAAAAACTAATCAATCTTTCAAAAAGGGGATGTTACGTCCGTTCTACCGCAAACAGGTAACGCCTAAGTCTCCAACGAGCGAGCAGCAATGCACCTAACTGCTAGAATGCGCACGATAGCATCATCCATAAAAAACATCAACACACAGTTGGCACGAACTACGTCTACTCTGATTTCTCATGTCAGATGAGAATACGTAGGCACAAGACGGCGATGTCTTGGCGAGCACAACCCCCCTATCACCCGTAGTTTCCCGAACTACGTCGACTCTGACTTTCTCATATCTGTTGAGAATACGTAGGCCTAGGACCGCGAAGTCCTATCGAGTCCTTTCTTTCCCTCGTCACCCCGTGTTTCCCGTTTCTAAACCTTTCCCTTTACCCCTTTGAAACACACTTCTTATAGCATAATATCTAAGCAAATAAATTCACACATCGACAAACAAAAGGTTCCCATCGAGTACGATGGATGCGAGGGGTGCTAATACCTTCCCTTCGCATAACCGGCTTCCGAACCCGTTCATGGTTGCGAGACCATCTTATCCATTCTTTTCTTAAGGTTTTCTCGATATTTTCCTTTCCCCTCATGGGATAAATAAAGTTCGGTGGCGACTCTTCTGTCCTTTCTTTTTTCGCCTCCCCGTCGTTGCGCGATGCATTTTTCCGAGTAGCGACAGCTGGCGACTCTGCTGGGGAGATTGACCTAGCAAGCCAAGCCTAATTTGTTTGTCACATGTTTTATTTGTTTGCTTTTAACTGTTTATTATGTTGTGTTCCTTTTACCTGTTGGGTTTATTGGTTGGTTTGTGAGGATAAAAGCTTTCTACCCGAGCTTTCTAGTATACATTAAGATTAGGAGGTGGTTTCTTTCTGATTTGCGAGACGTAGGACTTGTTGAGTTGGTTTGAATTCCACCGCTCAGATAAGACCCCTTTGGGATGATTATGTCTTACGTGTAGTCGTAACGGCGTCTTTATTTCCAATTGGGAGTTCGTGACTCTGAGGACTTTTTGTAGAACCTTATTCCAAAGGTTCCTAAAACATAACTCTGTGTTCATCTTTTGAAAGAATTACCGTCTTACGAGTAGTCGTTCTGATGGAAAACTTTTGAGGGTTAGTGCATGGGACTTTGTTTAAAAAAAAGCCTTTGGGATACCCTCTTATAAACCAAGAGATTGCCCACCCGAGGTGAGGGATATCTCGTTGTTTTGTCTTGCAGAATTTGTGACTATTGATTCTTTGTGTGTTGCATCAGCATTTTGCATTGCATTTCATGTGCATCTCATTTTTGCATGTCCATCCTCAGCCGGAGCAGAGAACTTACCAGTCTTTTGTCCAACCCGCAGTTGATTTCCCGACATTCACATTGGATTTGAGTTAGCTTCTGGAAGGATCATGGACTCAGAGGAGCAGAATTTGGTTATTACAAGGGCAGAGTTTGAGATGATGAAGAATCAGTTGGATCAGCTCATGGAGGCCATGACAGCCATGACAAGAGGAGAGACCAATGTTCAGAGGACTCCAGTGAACAATGTTGCTCGAGCTCAGCCTGTGCAGATTCCTGTCAAAGATCAAGAGCATACTATTGTCAGAGATAGAGATTCATCTTCTCTCCATGACTCGGACTATCAGAACTTCACTTTCTCTGTGCCAAATTCCCAAAGGGTTGTTCCAAAGATTAATCCTAAAAATCCACAGACTGCTGAGTTTATGAGAAGGTATCGTCTGTTGGATGAAAAGCTTGATGCTCTGATGAGTCAAAACACTCTTAATTTGAATGCTTCGAGCATGTGTTTGGTGCCAGGTCTTGTGATGCCTCTGAAGTTTAAGGCGCCCAATTTTGAGAAGTACAAAGGGGATAGTTGTCTGAAGCAGCATTTGGTAATGTATTGCAGAAAAATGACCTCGCATGTCCACAATAACAAGCTTATGATTCACTGTTTCCAGGAAAGTCTGAGTGGGGCATCGTTGAGTTGGTATATGCAGTTGGAAAGTGGTTGCATCCGATCATGGTCAGATTTAGCCAATGCCTTTGTGAAGCAGTACAACTACAATCTCAACATGAATCCCAGCCGCATGCAGTTGCAAGAATTATCTCAAGCGGAGAATGAATCATTTAGAGAGTATGTGCAGAGATGGAGAGAATTTGCTGCTCGTGTTCAACCACCGCTTCAGGATAGAGAATTGGTTGACATCTTCTTGGGTACTTTGAAGGGCCATTACTATGATATATTGATTAGTGGCGGAACGTTAAACTTTGCTGACTTAGTGATAGCAGGAGAACATATCGAGAGCGGAATCAAGAGTGGAAGGATTCGAGACATCTCAGATACCCCAGTTTATGAAAGTGAATCAGTTGTCAGCTCTAAAGAGGAATGGGAAAAAGAAAGTAATGCTATCCCCGAATCTCCATTACCTCAGATTCAGTTTTCAGACGTTTCAAGTATTCAGAGTCAGCAACCTGTTAGGTCTGCGTATCAGATATCTACTTCCCTACAAAGTCAACATTCATACCGTCATCAGCCGCGTCAGCACGCCCGACGAAGACCGAGGAAGCCAGAGAGACATTTCACTCAGTTGCCGTTGTCGTACAGTCAGATATTGCCAGACTTAATCAGAGGTGGTTTGATAGTGCCAAAGAAAACTGATCCAGAGACTTCTCCACATCCTTCAGATTCTGATGTCAACGCCCGCTGTGAGTATCATGTTGGGGCACAGGGGCATGCAACCGAAGACTGTAAGGTGATTAGAAGCCAGGTTCAGACTCTGCTGGACTCCAACAGGTTTTCAATCACGCCTCAGGGTATTCAGATCAACGATTTTCCTTCGTCAAGTCATATGGGTTCGGCAGCTAATGTCATGGAGGGATTCACCGAGAGCATATGTTCAGAAGAGTATCAGACGGATTTTGATGAGCAATTCTAAAGATGGCTGGTTCAGCAGCAAGTCAAGAATGAAAGCCCAGTTCCCCGAAGCTGGCAATCTTTCTATCATGTTATTCCTTTGCATTTGTAGTTTCTTTTCTGTTTAAGTGTGAACTTATTTGCAAATTTCATTTGTAAGACGTGTTTGTTTTCGATTGATAATGATAATGAAATGAATATGCATGTTTTGATTAAATCCATTCGCGTTCACTCAATATTGCTTTTTCATTAATGTCAAACGCTTGTTTAAGCAGAATTCCTTGAGGGAGGATGACGAAGTTGAAAGACGCGCAAGCTTCCGATTGTATGCTTTTGAATAAAACCTTTGCTGATGATGTACAGGCATTGTTTCAAATTCCTAAACACCGGAGATATAAGGATGTTAATCCCTTGTCAACCCCTTCGAGCCTAGTAGTAGGAGTTTCTTTCTGAAAACGAAAAACCCTCAATCTTAACCTGGGGTAGGGTAGATGTCAGTTAATTTGACCGAGCATCCAAATTGCAGAAGGGAGTGTTCCTGTTTGAGAATCAATCACACCTATATAGGTCGTACCTAAAGAACCATATTGGTTATCCTTCACCAATCA